GTCAGCTTTGCAACCCAAGTGCCTTGGACTGGTGAGATCCCAGCTCTCTCTCTTTTCTCTTCTCTCTCTCTAAGCACAGATTTCTGAACCTGAACTGTATAAGTTAAGCTTGAGCTAAGTTTCCCCAAATACTTAGTGAAACCAGGGTATACTGTGATTGTTTGTGTTTGTTTTTCCTTTGCATGTCTATTACTGCTAGTGCCATTGTATATTTCATATACTTAGCAATAAATAACTTTTATAGTCAAACTGGTGGTAACTGGGTATATTTTTCCTTCTTTATTTCTCCTTTCCCACTTGCTCTGCAGCCATGTTTCTTTTACCTAAGCTAAAGATCCCTATGAAGCCCAAAAATACGGTGGGATCTGCTCATCAAGAGGCTAAAAGATTGGGACGTGCTGAGTTTGAAACAGATAAGGGGATCAGCTTGTACAGGCTGATTGACCCAGTTTGGCTCATACGTGTCCTAATGAACTGATGCTGGCCCATGAGGGTGTCATATGGACACCCAGCTGGATTCTTGTTTAACTATGTACTTGTGTCTGACTGCAGTTATTGTTGCTCTGATGAACTGATTCTTGGCATATGAGGGTGTCAGCCTGTCCATGCTGATCAACCCGGCCAGGTCAGGCGTGTCACATTAATCTGTGTGGGTGTATGTATATAACTGATTTGGGGACTCGAACCCAGCCCCACTGAACTGAGTCCTGCAAGATAGCTCCATTGGGGGTAAGGACTTGCAGGGGGAGAGATACAGCTCCATACAGAAACACAAGTAACACAAGCAGCACATTAATAGAATTACCAAGACCCTAGCCCTAATAAATGTGTACACCCCGAAGTAGCAGGCAAATCTGGTAACAGGCAGTACTGAACAGATACTGAGGGGCATTCAATAAGTAGATCAATGTTCATAATAGTAACTTTGCTGTACCAATCAGAACTCATAAATTGTACAGAAACAGATTCCTCCAACCATCACAGCTCTGGTCTTCTTTTTGTCCTATGATGATTGGAAGAATCTGCCCAAATTCACAAATTCTGGTTGATGTTATGAACTTGTTTCTGTGAAAAGTTGCTGCTTTTTGGAATATCTTTCTTTCTGTGTGTACTCATTTTTACTGACTGCCAGTCTTGCATTCATACCAGCCCAGCCTCTGGCTTCTTTACTAATCATCGCATCCAGGAAAAGCACACACCAACTGCAGATGCTTCCTCAGCCTGATGAAGGGTATTTAAACCCAAAAGCTTGCTAAGAAGAATTTTTCCAACTATTTGAGTTGGTCTAATAAAAGATATCAGATCAACCCAAAGAACCTTGCCTGCCTTGTTTTTACTGATACATGTATGCATCAAACTAAGGACAATGACAAGTAGTTAACCTAATGACTGTATTGACTGAAAAACTAGTTTGCCAATAGGATAGGAAACCTAGGAGGTGTACCTCCCTGTAGGAAATGGATCTGGAACAGCATAAAACTACTGAAGGCAGAACAAAGAAGCTGGGTGTTGAAAAAGGATGCATAAATAAGGCAAGGCTTACTGGGGATTTAGGGCAGAAAGGGGAAGATACAGAAAGGCTTTTGTTTTATGGATGGCTGTCCTAACTGTAGGATCAGTTAAGGTTAGAGAAGTTTGAACTGAGCTGAGCTGGAAAGGCTGTGATTCAGACAAAGTATATTATGATCTTCAGGAGGATCCTAGATGACCTTTAATGATCTTGGCCCATCCAAAGATTGCTGCAAAGTAGTGAAGAAGGGGAAGTAGGGAGATGCATGCATAGCAATCTGTTTTTATGTGGTCATGTACTCCTACTGCTAGGGTCCTTGACACACATTATGTTTAGGGTGCTTTACCTGCATTTAAAATGATAGGATCTGAGCATTCAAGCAGTAAAATATGTACTAAGTGCCATTGTAGTATAGCAGTTGGGGCTTTTCTGACAAGGAGTACCTCCACATCGTTTTACCTCAGACATGTTGAGCTAATATCAGGGAATATGATCAGGAGAGAGGAGACTCAGGTCCTAAAACAGTGCTAAAGCTGGGTTATCGTCCCAGCACCAAGCCACAATCAGTTCAAGACTCCAGCGCAGTGGAGAGGCCAGGCCTGACAGAGATGCCAGGTGACGCAGGACATCAGACAGCACCGGTAAAAGAGCAGTGCGCCATCGCCTGTGCACTGCGTGTCGCAGCACGTGACGCCCGCAACAGGCGGCCAGCAGCCTGTGCGCGTGCGCAGGCGGCAAGCGCCTCAGCGGCAAGCCGCAGGAGCAGCCTCCTGTTCCACCTCTCCGATCGTAAACGCCACACGCGTTCCCGAATGCCTACGGACTGCACGCATGCGCATTGGCCCGCAGCGCTTCCGCTTCCCGACGCAGGCCCCGCCTCCACGCACGCTGCGTAGCGACGACGTTATGTGCGGCGGCAGCAGCAATTTGAATCCCAGCGCGCGAAGATGTCTGTGGTGCGGCCCTTCGACAAGCTGCCTGTGCTTAACTCCGCCGCCATCCTGGTGAGCCTGGCAGGGCAAGCCGCGGCCGCTCGCCCGCCTCGCGGGGCCTGAACCCGGCGCCCGGCCCCAGTCCGAACCCTGCTCCCTGGCCCCGGCCGAGCGCGGGCGGCTGTTGGGACCCGTCCTGGCTCCCGGTTGGTGCCTTTTGTTCAATATGCAAATGTCCCTTTCCCTGGCCCCGCCCCTCGCGCTGTGGGCGGGGCTTGTTGCGGGGCGGGGCGGGGCGCGCGCTGGTGGCGGGAACCACGTGCGCCTTTGAGCGCGTCCAGCCCTGGGCTTGGCTCCGTTGCCTGTGTCGGGCCACCCGCGGGGACAGAGGGACAGGCTAGCTCGAGGCCTAGATGATCCTGCCTTAAGGAGCAAGGCTCGGGAGCTGCCCCTTCTCGTCTGTTGTGCTGTCTTGCCCACGCCCTCACGCTTCTTGCCTTGGTCCCTGGGCTGTGTCTGGGGCTCCCACCAGGCCCAGGTGCAGGACGCTGGTTTATGGCTGCTCTCGGGGGTGGATTAAGACTTATCAGGGAGCTGGGCAAACAAAATTGGAGGCCCCCCACGAAGCAAGGGCAGGTTTTCTTTGCACCTGCAGGGGGCTGCAGCTGGGCCTACCTGGCCTCCTCGGCGCGTCTGGGGCAAGCCAGGGAGGCAAGCACTGCCGAGGTGGAGGCAGCCCCAGCCCAGCTCCTCTGCCCAGTGTATATCATACAGCTAGGGCTGTAGTCCAAAGCACCAAATGATGGGCGAGGGCTGGCATGGGGTGGGAGGCATGAGCTCTGCCCCTGGCTGTGCACCTGACCCGCTGCCAGCCTGGGCAGGGTGGGATGGGGATATCCCATCCTGTCACAATGGTGCTGGTGCTGGCGGCTACCCGCAGACGGCAGGGAGCAGGAGTGGGGCCACCTGGCAGGAGACGGCCTGGGGAAGCCACTGGTAGGGAGCCCTGTGTGTGGCCCTGGCCAGGCCAGAAAGGAGGAAACATGCACTGCTCACCCCAGATGCCCATGGCCAGAATGTCTGCGTGCTGCCCCTGGCGCCCCAGGCCTGTGCATTACTCCACTCTTCGCTGCCCTTTGTCTTTAGGTAGAGATGCTAATGCCTTTTTTCTTGCTGAGCAGATGGTGGGCACCGATGAAGATCTCCAGCAGCAGCTAGCACAGACTATTCTTAAGGAGAAAAAAGACTTCAAGATCAGCATGTGAGTGATGAAGGAAGGAGAGGAGAGAGAGACCCTTCCTGGTTCTGCCTCCTCAAGGCTTCTCAGAGTTCCCCTCTGCTTTCAGACCCCCCCCCCCCGACATCCTCTCAGCTCCCAGAATCCCACCTTGTCAGGGTTTCTTCCCATCCCCTCTGCTCCCAGAGCCCCGCATCTCAAGGTCTGCTCAGTTAGCTCTATGCAGGTTGTATAGAGCCTAGGCCTGCTTTGCATGGGTGACAGAGTTAATGTGGAGGTGCTGTGGGAAGCACTGTGGCTCATGCTTCTTAAATGCAGACTTCTGCAAGCTAGTAGTAACAGTGGGAGCAAAGCCCAGCTGAGTTCACTGCTTTTTCAGAGTGCCCAGAGCAGGCTCTATCCTGCTGTGTCTTTGTGACTGACACTGACAGGTAGAAAAAGACACAAATAGCTTTTTCTTTAGGCAACAAAAGTTCAGGCTCGGGGACAGGTGTGGAAGGGGGATCTTGACCCCATTCTTTTTGAGTAATATGAGTGCTTGACAGTCCTCCATGTGTAGTATGAGCATTTGACTGTCACTGTCTGGTGTAGTATATTCATATTAACTAATTTCCACCTTCATGCAGGGGAAAAAAACACTATAAGGGCTCATAAATTAATGGTAGGGAGTTGAAGGCAAGTATAGCTTCCTGAAACTGCTTTATTTCAGGTTTCTTTGTAAGATGTCAGCTGACTCTCGTACTTGTTCGGCAAAAGTTTCTAGCATAGTGTCTGGGCATGCATATTGCTTGCCTTCTTCAGGTCACTGAGCAGCATTTGGAATTGTAATTCCAGCTGCAAGATGGAATGACTCTATCTTGGCAATCTGATTGCTTAGCTTGTTGCTAACGTGATGACCTTGTCAATTGTCTCCAAGAGTGAGTGGAACTTGGATCTCAAAGTACATGTTCTGTTCCTGGAGTCCTAGAACTTGATGCTGGAGAGACATTCATAGCTAAGCCATGGAATACTTTCAATTCTTAAACACGGTGAAAGGCACTAGATCTTTTCCCTGGACTTGTCAGTAAATCTCACTTGTTTTTACCACTTCTACAAATGAGATTACAAAGGAAAGTGTTTCAAATTTAATTTTATAACTTGCCTTTAACTTTTAAATTCTGACATCTCAGAATAACTTCTACAGTCCCCCCCTCCCCCCAAATCTGGCCAAAAATTCTCCTCCAACTATACATTGTTTCCTCTACTTAAATCAGAAAGATCCCTTTGAGCGTTTTGGGGGATGGATGTCCATAGATCTCAGTGGCCCCACACCTCTGTCTCTTTCTAGAGAAACATATGTCTTTCCATAATAGACCTTAGAACTATAGGGATGGAAGGGGTCTTGAGCACACTTCTCTTGCTCCGGTGTAGGATCAGGTTTATATAAGTAAATGATAATATCTTAGGTTAGAAAGTAGTTCCTATATTCATATTTTATAGGATAGTCCTAGGTAGGAACACTGAAAATGTGGAGAATTTCTCATGTTTGCAGGGATTATCTTCTTTGTAGTCTTAGACGAAATTTTAGGGGGGTTATTGGATCATGTATACTGCAGAAACAGGAATTATTTTACATGCTTACACACTCTGGCCTACAGAAGTTCTAATTATGGCTTGTCTAGTGCTTCCATTTTCCTTCAGTGAAATGGGAATTAAGAAGATGGTGTTTTCATTTTACATATTAGTACTGTATTGCTCACAACATCATTGACACTGATCCTACACACAGAACAGCCTCTGCCCAAAAGAGGTTATACATAAAAAAATTTGCATTTGAAGTGTTTGTTATTAAAATAAACAAGGAGGTAATCCTCTCCATGAAGGAGGCAAGGCACTCTGTAGCTCTGTTTGCCACTTCTGTGCAGTCTTTAATGTGGTGCATGCCTTCCTTTCCAGCTCTGTCCAGCAGGGGAGGGACCATGTTTGCAGCATTGCTGGTGCTGCTGCTTTTTCTTCTGTTTGCTCATTCCCAGTGCCATATGTGCAGAATCCACAGTGTCACTTATAAACTTTCCTGAGTTTTCCAAGCTGTTGGAACTTGCTCAGTCCTTCAGGATGCCTAGGAATTAGGAGATTCCTCCTTGCCTTCCTGAGCCATCCCAAAGTGCCTGTCAAGCTGCAGTGCCACCAGGGGAATTCTTTACACACATGCATTAGTTACTGAGGTTGTCCTAGACAGTCTCTGTCGCTGTCGCTGAAAGCTGCCAAGCCAAGATCCTATCTACTTGCTATGCCCAGCTGCTGACCGTGGGTGATCTCCAAGAGATGTTGGTTGCATATGGTTGGGATTTCAGGCACTCCCTTCATTTCTCTGTCTACCTGTAACTGGGAGGTCTTGTGAATGAATTTCAGCCTTGGCCAAAGTTGACAGACCTGGGTTTGGACAGGAAGGCCCCCTTATCTGTGTACTTCCAGTGTGTGGACAGATGCCAACAACCTTAGATCCTCATGCAGGACAGAAAGAGCCATACTCTTCTGCTTTTAGCCTCTGCTGCTTTGTCTTTGCAAATCCTTCTTTTTTTTTTTTTTTTTTGCAAGTTCTTGGCTAACTCCAGCAGCCAGATGCTTTTGATCCCTTGCAAACCCTGTAGAGTTCATTCAGTGAGGGCTTCCTTGTGGGTGGTGTCCAGTAACTAGCAACCCCTTAATCTCTCTGGTCTCTGCTTCACCTTACTTCTGATGTAGCTTAGATGCTAGTGCTGCTTGGTTTGATGCAGCATCTGTCTGCCTATACAGTTTGATCCCACCTGGAGGGATGGAAGACTCTACAGTTTATGTAGTGAAATGGTAGTTACTGTTTTCTGTGGTTTGTTTTTGGTTGTTTTTCTTCTTTCTTGGATCACATGTTACTGAAGTAGGCTGGTGTGGAATGCTGTTTGCTGACATCTGTGATGCTGCTTTTGAGTAGGATAAGGAAATTCTGCAGTCAGCTCTCTTTCCAGGGGGAATTCTAGGTCACTGCAATGTATTGACTAGATATTGCCACTTCCCTAGGAAATCAGTAATAATGGATGTATTATGGCACATGTAGTGATGGGTATGTTCATGATTTGTTCCATCTGTATTCTACATATTGGTGGAAAATGGCTCTTTCACACTTTTTCCCCCCCTCTCCTGCAGCAACTTGAGAGACATCATGGGGAGCCATGCTACATTGACTTTGTTTACAGTAGGAACATTATGTAATTCCCTTCTGCAGTTTCAGTAATGATGGTAATAATGGAAGTTTGTGACAAACTCAGTCCTGGTCTCTTGACTACTGTCTGCTAATCTTATCACCACTGAGGCAGTAGGAGAAAAGGAAATACTGACTTTAATGCAACTGTATGAGCTTCATCTAAGCTACAGAATCCTGGCTAGTGAAGCTGTATTGGCAGTTAATGTCTGGTTCATAGCTTAGATACGACACGATGCTTTGCACCTGTGTTCAGAGCATAAAGTGAATTCCCCTAGTCGGATATGTGACTAATCTTTTCAGGATTGGAGTAGATGTGGTGGGATCCTCTTAAAGGACATACATAGGCAGAAAAAGAAATATGGCCATGAAAGCTTTGGATTTGATTATTGGAGGTTTGACTGGACTGAGAATTGCTTTAACAATTAGAATGGGGACAGCCAAAATCCTTGGAGAGAATTCTTCATGTGAGATGACTTCCTTAAGCACTTTGCCACTAGGTCTAGTTTATGCTGGTGCATATCAATTGTAGCTGTTGGTGGTAGTGAGCAGACTAACATGGGACCCTTATGTTGCTTAATCAGATAATGTCTCCTTTTAATCTGATTAGGCACCAAAACTCATAGCAGTGAATATGTTCCCTGGTAGCTATCCTAGCCAAGCAGCTAGCTGGCAAAGCAGGATCTGCTTTGCCAATCCATAGTCGTTGACTAAACCTATAAACCTTTTTGTCTTTCAGCCATCTGGCGACCTCTCTTCCTTTACCTGCCGAGAGAGATCACATTCGGCCCCGGATTGATCTTATTGTGTTTATGATTAACGTACAAAGCAAATACAGGTAAATAAAGAAGGGGTGGGAATGGGAGGAGGCAGGGGGTAAGCAAGAAGTGAGTGTAGCTTGGAAATGAAACTGATCCAGCTGCAAAATCTATTGAGTTGGTCAGCAGTACAGAGTCAGAGCCATTTGACTTCTGGATTCAAGACTGACTGGGCTAGAACAGTGGTTCTCAATGTTTTGGCCCTGTGGGGCTGTTCTGTGGGCTGAGTTAAACCCCCACCCCTTGTGCTGGGATTGGGCCCCAGGAGCCCAGCACAGAGCTCGGACCTCCCCATGGATTTCCCCCACTGCCAAATTTCTGGACGTGGGCTGGATGACACGGCACTGTGGGCTGGGGCAGGGAGGATTGAGCAGCCCTGTGCTAAAATAATCCTGTAGTACAAACAGCTGTCATCTTTCCTCTGCAAGTGGAGGAGACGGATGAACCTGCTGTTCAATGACAAACCTAAGTGCTCTGTCATGGAGGAGAGCAGAACTTTTCCTGATACCAGGTAGTGCTCAGTGGTGGAAGGGATGCAGGCTGTAATCTGGAAAGGTAGTATATCCAAGATGGGTAGTTTCCTCTTTTCGGTATTGGTAATATGTGGTTAAGCAGGCTTAGACTAGGCAGTCTAATTGGACTTGAGGCAGTAGTTGTGTGCGCACCTTTGTTTGATATTTGCCAGCTAGGTCTGCTCAATGGGACTGGGGCTCTATCAGTTAGCCCTGAAAAAAGAACCTCAAATTGAAATTGCCATTTATTTCTCTCTGCACCCTTGCTCTTCCCTTTTCACCAGTGCCTTACAGTCTTCGGTTTCCCCTGGTACATATGTTTTGCAAAACAACTCAGTTAGCAAATGTTGGTTTCCCAAACTTGTCACCTCTGATTCCAGGTTTAAACTTGGCCTTGCAAACAATGAGTTGCTTCAAGCATCCATCAAGAAAGAAAGTGTTAAAATATACAAAAGCTGGGAATTTCAGAGGTTGAGTGAGCTAGGCACCCAATTCTCTCCTTCAGTCCCAGTGGGAGTTGAGTGCTTAACTCCTGAAAATATCATCCAAGATGTTGGTTGGTTTGGACAATGTTGTTTTGCATGTGCATCTCTTCCTGCCTGTTATATGAACAGCACTGTTATCTAAGCAAAAAAGAACGATCTTCAGCTGTGCAGATTGCATTTGCCCAGCCCCCAATTGATGCTCAGTAGAAGATGGATGTCCTTAGGTCTGTCATTTGTGCCTTGGCTTCCTGCTGTGGTAATAAGGGTACTATCATTAGTCTTGCCTCCTGGTCTAACTGGATGATTTGTTGTGCCGTTCTCCAACAGCTTTAAGAATATTGAAGCTTCATTAGCCCATGTTGATGCCAACTTCTTCCTTGGGAAAGTCTGCTTCCTCGTTACAGGTGGTACGTATAACCAAGTATCAACTTCTGTTTCCCCTTTCGGTCTTGCTCAGTCTCTGCATTGGAGGTGGGAAAGCCTCTCTTTAAAACAAGCAAAGCCTATAGCTTGCAGCACAAGCTCTTTTTTTAGATATAGTTGTTTTCTTTTGACTTCCGCTGCTTGGATCATGTCTTGCTGCTTCTTCTCGGATCTTTTTCTCTTTGCATCCCCACCCTTCAGATCTGAATTGCTATATTGATTTGTTTGGTGCTGAAGAGGGGTTGTTTGGGGTATTTTTTGAGGGCTCCTCCCCCTGGACCTACGTCACTGGTAGTGTCAACATCATTTTGTTTGTTACTGCCTGAATGAGCTTTGATATGATGAGGACTATGCTGTAAACTGGCTTTGGATTCTATGAGGAACTGAACGTTCCATGGGAGAGCATGGTCAGACTCTCTTTCCCTCCATAGTTGGTCGGGTGAATCGCTGCAGCGTAGAGATGAGTGCTGTCCGGAAACTGGGAGAGGCCTATTGTAGCCCCCTCATATACTGCGAGTTGGAGGTATGGATGCTTAATTTTGTAGCTACAAATGGATGGGGTGGGGAGAAGGGGAGTTGATCAAAACTTTCTTCTTGAGAGCAGTATTGGTATGCCAGCAACAAATCATGACAAGGGATATAGCTTAAGCCAAATCTTTGCTAAAAGCTAAGTTCCTTTGTCCATTTTAGAAGGATGGATACTGGAATCAATACATGGTTTGAAATTTGTTCTTGCTTTCATTTAGGCACATGAAGACCCAGTTCCTCCACTAAAGGGTGCACTAGCTCTAAAGCAGACTCCCTCCTGAGCTACCATCCCCACCTGTCATGAGATTCCCCTCTTCCCTGCCCATGAAAGACACTTTTCACCACCCAGACTCTGCAAAGTGAGGCAGTCCTGCTTCCGAAGGGAACTTCCTTCTGCAGGGTGCCATGTCACTTTTTTTTTTATTACTTGTCTGAGGGACAGAGTCTGCAGAATTCAGCATGGCGTCTTCCATCTGCATGTGGTCACTGATGAACCTATGGTATATCCTTGATTATCCAAACCCTTTTGGAAGGTGCCTCTAAAAACTGTCTGGCTAAGTGTGACCACAGCATTTTGTGAGGCACTACGCATGATGCATAATAGAATACCATACTGAATATAATGGCTCACATATGCTATACAGTAAAACTTGAGAGAGCAGTTAGTTTGTACAGTTACTGCATTGCTTAAGAGTAGAGATACAGTACAGTATAAAATAGGGCTTAAAGAGAAACTTATTATGTAGTACCAACAGTGCCAAGTGAGTTATACAAATGGCAGCTTTTGTTTTGGGGTGGGTTCCGAAAATGGGGGAGGTTTCAGTGAGTGGAATGCTTCTCGGCCTCCACTCAGGAGATCAACTTTGACTCTGCCCTCCTGTTGATCAGAGAGAAGTGGGTGGTGTTCTCCACCATGTCTTCAAACTGTATAACCCTGCCCTGCCTTCTAGTAGGCTCTAGGCAAACGAATGGCAGGCTTAGGAAGTGCTCTGTCCAGTTGATATAGGCCACAGTTAATGTGGGTTTCTGTCCTCAACCCAACAGCAGCAAGCTTGGCTTATTGCTCCCTTTGTTTCCTCCCCTCTCTCTTCCAGTTAGAAGGGATCAGAATCTCCACAGCTCAGCGGCTGCTCCGGATGTTGCAGATCTGTGCTGGTCATGTACCGGGAGTTTCTGCCCTGTTCTTCAGCTCCTTGATGAGAAGCTCCAATGATGAATAACCTCCCAACATCAGTCCAGTAATGTTCTTCCCCTTTCTGACTCGGTGTTAAGATACTGAAACAGGTACCCTGCTGGGAAGTGTCTTATGTTCTGTAATGAGGCCACCTTGCCCAGAGCTGCCTATTTTTTTCCCCTACAGAAAAGGTTGAGTTCCTGTTCAGTGGCCAAAGTTACGGAAAGGAGGCCCTTATGCATTGTTATTACTTCTGAATCTCCATTCCCCTTTTTCCAGTTAGCACCGCTATTTTCTACTGACCAGGAGCTATGTAACACTCAGAGCTGTGAGGGAGGAGGGTACAGTTCATCAGGTCAATGCATATCGGGAGCAGGTAGCTGTACTTCAGAAGCACTGCAGTGAGGAAGAGTAGCACTGGAGTACTAGTGCTCCTCTCCCACCTGGCGTCTGACTGACTGCCTCATCACAATTTGGCTCTCTTGACTAGGGTTAAAAATTCACTTCCTCAAACAATGGCCTGAAAGGAAGGAACCAAGTTTAGAAGGAGCCGGACATACAGCAGCTGGCAAAAATAAACCATCTGCTGATCTGTTGTGAGCAAAGACAAGCTGGCTCTGTCGTTCTAAGACTTTGACATCTAACAGAAGATGGTTGTGAAGGGATTAAAAGGGACTGTCTGGCAACTTAGCTTGCTTGTTTCCTTTCAAGGAAAAAAGTACCTTTTCCGAGACAGGACCAGCAATCAGTGTTTGGTGGGGAAACTGTACCCTCACTATGCTCCTGAGTCACAAGAATGGCTGGGATGCTACAACTCAAAAGCTCCCACAGGTCTGCATGCATTTCAAGCAGTAGATAAGATGTCTAGAAGGGACTGAGACTTGCCCAGTAGGCTTAGAAAGGGTGCAGCTATTAAAAATGTGTGTAGAAATTTCTTAGTCCTGTGAATGAAGACCCATAAAAACCTTTTGATTTCAAGGTCTAACTCAAATTTGTTGATCGTCTCCAATTCTTGTTCACTTCTGCAACTCAAGCCTGTAAAATCTGGAGAGAGATCTTTTATCTCTCCCTCTTCCACAGACCTAGCACTTCTTTGCATTCCACCCCCACATCTCCCAAGGGAGGATGGGGATGGATATGACTAACCTGGCTGGAAATGTGCTGTGTAAAACGTGCATGCTGCTTACAAGTCAGACTCAAAATTTTCACTGTCGATAATTCTCTAGATCAGACTGGTTTGACTTGTATAGCAGTAATAATGGAGTAATCTCAGTGCAAATTAATGCCAGGGATTGGAAGTTTATTTTAATAAAATGTACAATAATTAAAAAAACTAATCCAACCTCATGCTGTTTTCTGATTATGGCTACATGCTGTGAGTATCTTTGCAGGGAAAACTGATTGCTTTTCATGAGTGGTGCTGCTGTTCTGATGTAGACAGTGGTGGGGTAACACTGAGGATTTAGTGCAACTTCCGTTACTTGAAATGGACTGCAATTTCCACTTTAACCAGGAGATGGTGCCAAGAGCTTGTCAATTGTAGAAAATCTCCTGCGCTAATCTTTTGGGTACAAATACCCTTGTCAGGCTGAGGAAGACTCTGCAGTTGGTCTATCCTCCAGGAAGAGCACAGACCAACTGCAGGTGTTTCCTCAGCCTGGTGAAGGGTATTTGTACCCAAACACTCGCAAAGAAGAATTTTTCCCACTATTTTAATTAGTCTGATAAGAAACATTGGATTTATTCAACCTTGTCTGCCTGTGTTCTTAGACCAATATGCTAAAACATATCCCTGTGCTAAACTGCTCTCAGTACAAAGCAAAGGCAATGTCCTTACTAAACAGGTCTTGGTTTAGGCTTGACATTATTTGAAATGAATAAAAAGTCAAACTGTTAGGGAGTTTACTTCACATCCGGACTGCTCTAATGTTCCTAACTTTGAAGCCCCAGCTTCTAGTGCTGTAGTTTCCCTATAGCTTGCCTCCAGCCTTTCTTTCTCAGCAGCAAAAAAACAACAGTAGCAATGCAGGCTTAATTAGCTATGCATTTTGGCAGTGGTCAGAGGTGGCTCAAAAAGACATGGGTCCTAAATCCATGCTCAAGGGCTGCATAAATCCCACCTGCAACTGGCTTCTCACTGTGATAGTAGGACTGAGGTGAAGGGAATGGAGAGGACTCTTATCAGTCAGCTAGAATAATAACTGCAACATTTTTAAACTGCATTTTGCTGGAGGCAGAAACCCACTCTAGCTGCAGCCCGTGACAGGGAGCTCAAGTGTATCCGTGTCTACAAAGGATTTGAAGCCTATAATGCCTCAGTTGGTATGTCCTGCTTTGTGGATCCTCGCTGCAGTAATTCAGGGCCTTCCTGTTATCTGGCAGCATTGTGAGGCCAGAAAGTGGGGAGGAAAAATATTTCCAGTGCTTTAAGTTTGCTGTCTGAGCCTAGCCTTCCCTGTGGGTCTCTCAGCACGTACCGGGGCACAGTTCAGAGACTGAGTGGTTTCAATTTGTTCTTGAAGCACAGGTGCAACTTGTGTTGGGGGCAGGGAGGATGAAGGGGGGGGGTCATAGAAAAATGGTAATTAAGTGTTCTTGTTCCCTTTTCTGGTTCATGTAAGATGGACCCTTATTGTGTCCGCTGTGCTTTTGTCGAATCCAGTTCATTTAGAAGTGGGCTGGACAACTGAAGCCTCAAAGTAATTTAAAAATCATTGCGTCCTTGGTGGGAGGGGAAAAAACATTCCCCAGTGAGATCTTTTAAGGCTTCATAAAATATTTTCAGCATATCTCCCACTTGAACTACTTTGCCCAGTACTTCTGTTGTATCATCAGATTCAAATCTGGAATTAGATATGCTTTTAATACAATATACCCTCACCCACCACTACTGTCAAGGGGAATAAGGGGGTGAATGCTGCAACTTGTTTGTCCTGTTTCCTTTCAGATACATTTTCTGTTTAGAATGACATCCAGTTCCTTTAAGAATAGCGGCAACATTTTTAAACTGCATTTTGCTATAGATCACTAGACCAGGACGAAGTGGTGGATGAGGCTTTCTTCAAACAGCTAGTGGTAGCTTCCTGATCACAGGCCCTGGTTCTCATGGGGGTCTTCAAATCACCCTGACATCTGGGAGGGCAATACAGCAGTGCGTAGGCAATCGAGAAAGTTCTGGGAGAATGTTGGGGACAACTTCCTGGTGCAAGTGCTGAAGCTATCAACTAGAGGCCATGCTCTTCTTGATCTGTTGCTCACAAAACAAGGAAGAATTGGTGGGGAATGTAGTAGTGGATGACAACTTGGGCAGCAGTGACCATGAGATGAGTTCAGGATCCTGAGGAAAGGAAGGGTGGGGAGCAGCAGAGTAAGGACCCTGGGCTTAAGAAAAGCAGACTTTGACTCACTTGGGGAACTCATGGGCAGGATCCCTTGGGAAGCCAGACTGAGGGGGAGAGGAGTCCAGGAGAGCTGGCTGTACTTCAAAGAAACCTTACTGAGAGTACAGGAACAAACCATCCTCATGTGCAGGAAGACTAGCAAGTGTGGCAGAAGACCAGCTTGGATTAGCAGAGAACTCTTCAGTAAACTAAACCACAAAAAGTAAGCTTATAAGAAGTGGAAACTTGGACAAATAACTAGGGAAGAATATAAGAGCATTGCTCGGACATGCAGGAAAGCCAAAGCGCAATTGGAGTTGCAGCTAGCAAGGGATGTGAAGGGTAAATAGAAGGGTTTCTATAAGTATGTCAGTAGCAAGAGGAGGATGAGGGAACATGTGGGTCCCTTACCTCCCCCATTCAGTAACCTAGTGACAGGATGTAGAAAGGGCTGAAGTGCTCAATTCCCTTTTTGCCTTAGTCTTCACAGGCATAGTTGGCTCCCAGACTACTGCACCGGGGAACACAGTTTGGGGAGGAAGTAAGCAGCCCTCATTGCTGAAAGAACAGGTTAGAGACTGCTGCATATGAAAACTGAAAGCTTGGACAGTGTCTCTTGCATAAAAATGCAGAACAGTGGCTGGGGCAAGACTGGATTGTGGTAACAAGACTGCCACAAGAAAAT